GTTGGAAATGCTGTTAATAGGGGAGATCCTTTTGGCCTGACCTGGCATAACTTGGTGTGTGGCTGGGCGGGGACGAAAAAGATGTCCCAATATATCAAGATTATATGAGGTTCCTGAAGGAAGTTTCCTAAGGAAGTCTTGCCTTTTAAGAGATTTTTCTATCATTAAATAGAGAAGTGAAGCATGCTACATCTGCGGCTATTACAATTATATACAACAAAGTATTTAATTAACTAAGAAACTTACAAAATATATATAATAATAAGTACCATATAAATATTTTCATTGTTTTTAAATTCTCCTCTGATTTTAAAAGAGTTTCCCTTTTATCTTTTGTCTAATTTTAAATAGAAGTATTTCCTTTCATCAAAAATATATATTTCTCCCTCTTTAGTAACATCTTTAACAATATCTTTTACCGGAACAACTCTCCCCTTCTTTTTTTAATAGGAACCCCTAATCACCGCAACAGAATTAAAAATATTTACACACTTCATTTAGGAGACACGTGTAATAGGCTAAACAGAGTGTTTAGTGTGGCCGCCGGACACACGCGATGTCCTGTAATCAGCTTAACCGGCCAAGGATAATGGATATAGGGGGGGCCATGATGACGACAGAACGCTGACAAACAGGACTCGTAATGCCGGCATTGCATTGACAGGATAACGAAGCATGAATAGGCACGAAACCTGCGCGAATAAAGGCCCGATCATAAAGGGGGAACAGAGTCAAGGCAGCTGCCACAAGTGCAGGACCTGCGACAATAGAGGAAAGGATCTTATTTTTAGTTGGGGGTCTGTCTCTGGGGTCGGCAAAGGACAATGGGCCACAGGTAGCGATGGAACCCGCACATAATCGCCGACAGATACGGCCAGGTGATCCAACTTTTTGATTTCTTCGGGCTAAAGGACATTGATACCGGCCGATTCTGGATTCCTGGAAGCAATTCCTTTCGCTGGCTTTTCAAAACATTTACTCCACTGTTCGCCCATTGTGCCACACCGGTATCTCTCGCTCTATTGATTGTGCAACACAGCCCGTGGCAGTCTGTGATTTTCCCTGCTACTCCGATCTTCGATTTATGGATCGCAGCTCCTTTGTGTCGTGCCAAAAAAAGGAGAAGCCCAACATAACAACAACAACGGGAGCTGCAGTCCTTGATCCTCGATCCTGAACCGGGGGTAGTAGTATAGTAATCAACAATTCATTGTCAACGAGATCACACATCGTATATCTTGGGCCATAGTTTGTTTTCTTTGGTGGCATCGGTTCTTTCTATTTTTCTCCCTGTCTTGGTTTTTACTTTTTCTTTTTTGCAAAAGGTGCACCGGGTCCAGGTGAGCTGTGAGTACTGTTAGGTTGTGATGGAGATTCATTGGGATCCAGACAGGAGTTTTGATTTATAGAAAATATACATAGGAAAGAAAGCTGTAAAAACAGTTACAGGAGATTCAGGAATTGGGGGAAATTGGAATATATAATTGAGATGGAAATATAGATGGTAGATAGCATATATAATATGATTTAAAAATTTATTTTGAATTTGATTTAAAGTATTTTTGAAATAAGAGTTTACATTTAAAGCATATTAGTAAATATTTGGTATAGATTAAATATTTATAAAAGGTTCTATCTTACTTTAAACTAAACTAAGGTCATACATTTCTTTACAGATTTTTCCTCTTTCCTTTCTTCCTAAATTTCCTTCATTTGCTATGTGTTCCTCTTCTTTCAAACCCAATTATTTTTGCACGAGTTTCACCCAGCTCCTCTGCTAACAATTCCAAGTGAATCCTTAAGAGATCCCTGATCCTTGTGTTTCCTGACAATAAAGACAGCTATAACAAATAGAAGAGCACAAGGTGCAAAAATGGGAAGGTCCCATTGTCAGCTAAAATCAGCAACAACAACAACTAAAACTGCATAAGGAAAATTGGAAAAATCGCTCGGTGCCGAGCAGCAGCACCTGCAGAAATCCCAACAGAGTCGGGGGAAAAAATGCCAAAGAAACCCCGAAAGGGTTTTCCCCACACTGCGCATGAATGAATCAAGCGGAAAACTCATTTCAATCCCAAAATCATCATCTACCTAAATGCTAATGAGCGGGATTTTCGCGATTACCTGTACACCGACAAGTGTGGGGTTTTCCGGGCAGAGTGAATGAAGGAATTAGTTGGGTTATCCTGCGATATCCTGGCGGCAATTCCGCGGCACGGTGATCATTAGGTAGGTGCCTGGATATGTCATGGCCGTTAATTGCGCGGAATAACACACACGTAATAACCGAGGTTTAGCGGGATGACCCACCAGGTAGGATATATACATAGGTATGTCCTATCCCAGGGATAGATAGAGAAAACCCCCAGACATTTTTCCGTGTTTTGCTTGAGTTTCGCTGACTGCGTAATTGGATAAGCTGGGAAATTACTTTAAATCCGCCGCTGATCCACATCCGGAGCGTCGGCGAGGGAAATCCATTGCAGGGAAATACGAAATGGAAATGCGGCTGGGTTATTGGCTCGACATTTCCCACTTTGCTGCTGCCATCACACCCTCTCTCTGCCATTGGCCAGGATCGCGGGGAATTGGAATTTCGCGTTGGAATTTTTTGTCACTTTCTTGGGTTTATCAAAACTTTTGGGTTTGCTCGCACGATCGGCACGGTTTTTTCTCTCGTCCTCGACCATTTTCCCACCGATAGCACATTCTCGCCTGGTTTTTTCTGGTTTGATGGCCGGGAAATCGAAGGACTTGCTGCTAGGCAATGCGGGTTTGGCTTGTTTTTCCGGGCACAAAGTCTGGGGAGTGGGAGGTGGGAAAGTTTCACGCCAGCGGTGTCGGAGGGGTAGCGGAAAAGTCTGCAGGAAGGTGGGAAAGTTGTGTGTGCAAGCGAGTCAAAGATCAGGGGAAAGCGAGACGAGTGGGAAATGTAGAGGGTATAGAACAAGGCTTAGTTAACATTATAATAACATTTTATATAAATAAAACATATTCCTTATTATCATTAATAGAAGTTCAGAAACAAATTATAAATTTAAGAAAATATAAGGAATCATTTTCATCAAGTTCAAGTTCAAACATATAAAGTTCCTTGCAATGTTTATTATACATTTTCTTGTGTTAAAAATGAAGTCATAAAACACATTGATCTGTTTTAAAAAAGTCGTGGGAAAGAAGAAAAACCAAAGGTAACTTAACAGAAGATTAGATAATTTCCCGTCAGTTCTTCTCTCAGAAAAAGAATCAATGACGGCAATCTGTCCCCGGAAAAGATTCTTTCCCATTTATCGCTGGCAATGAGCCACTGGAGATGATCCATAAGTCAGTGGAAAGTGCACCCCAGAGTTGACACACTTGGTGCTTGGAATTCGGCTCATTATCAGTGCTATTTTTAGGAGCACCTCTTGGCGGCGGCGATGGCGATGCCAAGGTGTCAGTTTTGCCAGTCCAAGTCGCTCAGGTTCAACTCCCCCTGAATTAGGAGCCACGGCAGATGTACTCGAAGCACTCGATCTAAGTGCACAAACCACCCCCGATATATATGCACTGAGAATTAAATATGTATATAGATTATATATAGAAATATGTATGGATTTTGAATTGAATAAAAAGGGAATAGTTTGTACCAGAAAGTAAAATCGATAATAAGAAATACTTCTAACACAAACTAAATATTATAAAATATTATTTAGTTATTCCTTTTGCTTGGGCTAAAGAATTTAATTAGATTTCAGAAAATGCCATAAGTTTATACCAAAAGCTTTACATTGTTTTAAAAGTTTATATCTATTTACAGCATTAAGATTTCAAATAATTATCAAAGAATTATATTCGATTTTAAGTCTATAACTTTGGAACCTGTTCAAGTATTTAAACTAAATTTTAAAAGTTTTTATCAAAATAAAATTAAAATTTTAAAACTGTTATGCTAGATGTTCTTAGGAGAATCTTTACAAAAGGAGTATATAAATGTATAATACATATTATGATCAGGTATATAATATGAATAAGTAAAGAGACTTCTTTTTATGGTAATCTTATGAAATTTTATGTTTGCTTTGTTTTGATAATATTAAAAATAATAAAAATGAACTAATATTTATCTAAAGCTATACTAGAGCTAACCTATGGTTGAGCTATATCAGATAAGGCCTTCAGCTCAACTAATTAATATATTTATTTACCAGTGTTTCAATATATATATTATATATTATATATATATATTATATATAAGATGATTGTCTAAAAGGGGACGTCTTAAAGGATTTTACATTAAGTATCTATCAAGATTTGTGTTCCTAACTTCAATATATTTTATATTTAGGTTTTTGAAATATCTCTTGTCTCAACTCAATAATTAAATATATATCCTTGGAAAGATAGAATATCCCCTTATATTATTCACCGTGTACTCTTCCAATTTGACTCGTGCTTAAAAATAGAAAATTACTTAGGGAGTCGCTGAAGGTAGACATAACTTGCATTCCGGACCTGCAGGAGGAGTTATGGCAGCAGGGCTGCACTTTTCCCTACACCCCCCTTGCGGGAAATTGGAGGAGAGTGAGCGAAGAGCTGTCATAAGTTATCGGATGGATCGGGTGGAAAAACGGAAAAAGGGATCCCCTTTCCACTGCCAAGGAGGGTGCGCCTGCGCCTGCGCTGGCTACTCTCTCACCTCTGAGAGAGAGAGAGAGAGGGAGAGTGGGAGAGGAACGAACGAGTGCAGGTAAAGAGCGGCAAGGGAAATACGCAATAGGGGTTGGGGGGGGGAGGGTAAAACTATGCCTGTTGTTGTTGCCGTTACTGCGCTGCTGCTGCTGCTAGGTAGCAGCGCACACACACGTGTGTGTGCGTATGTTTTGGGAAGAAGAACCACCACCAAAACGGAGGCAGCGACGCCGACGACGAGCCGAGTGACTCCGGGGGTATAAAAGAGCGTGCTCGACGCTCGACCTGTCACAGCCAACTCAGCCCTCGTTGAGAACGCATCTACAAGATCTATCAGAAATAAACTCAAAACTCTCCGAACTGTGATCTGCGAAACTCCGCCGATCATCACTCGATAAATCGATCTCTCAATTACGTGCCGGAAATAACTGTTATCGAAAATGGCCGCCAACTACAAGAGTTGCCCGTTGAAGAAGCGCCCCATTGTCTTTGTGGAGGAGCGTCTGCCGCAAACGGAGGCCTTGGCCCTGACCAAGGACTCACAGTTTGCCCAGGACCAGCCACAGGATCTCTCGCTGAAGCGTAGCCGCGAGGAGGATTACCCACAGGAGCCGGTGGCCAAGCGTGACTATGTGCTTAATCTCTCCAAGACACCGGAAAGGATTCCTGCCATCAGCTCCAGTTGCCTGCTATCGCCGCCCGTTGAGTCTGGTAGCCAGGATTACCCGCAGCCCACGGACATTCACATGCGGGGATTGACAGCTGGAACTACGGGTTACACCACCAGTGTCCCCGTGCCTAATCCCTTCCAGTCTGCCTTTGTGATGGCCGCCGGTTGCAATCCGATTTCGGCTTTGTGGAGCACCTATCAACCTCATTTGGCCGCCTTCCCATCGCCTGCTAGCTCCATGGCCTCACCGCAATCCGTGTATAGCTATCAGCAGATGACACCACCCTCGAGTCCGGGATCCGATCTGGAGACTGGATCGGAGCCAGAGGATCTCTCCGTGCGCAATGACATTCCACTGCCGGCTCTGTTCCACCTCTTTGATGAGGCCAGGTCCACGAGCAGCGGTGCCAGTGTGAGCAGCTCCTCGGGTTACTCCTCGTACGTTCCAACCTCTGCCACCGCCACTCCGGCTGGTAACCAGACCAGTCTGGCGGCCAAGAACTACCGCTTCAAGTGCGAGGAATGCCAAAAGATGTACTCCACCTCGATGGGACTGTCCAAGCACAGGCAGTTCCATTGCCCGGCTGCAGAGTGCAACCAGGAGAAGAAGACCCACTCCTGTGAGGAATGCGGCAAGCTGTACACCACCATTGGAGCCCTCAAGATGCACATTCGCACCCACACGTTGCCCTGCAAGTGCCCCATCTGCGGCAAGGCCTTCTCCCGTCCCTGGCTGCTTCAGGGACACATCCGCACCCACACTGGGGAAAAGCCATTCCAGTGCCCGGATTGTCCACGATCCTTTGCCGATCGCTCCAACCTGAGGGCCCATCAGCAGACGCATGTGGATGTGAAGAAATATGCCTGCCAAGTGTGCCACAAATCCTTCTCGAGGATGTCACTCCTGAACAAACACTCCAGCTCCAACTGCACCATTACAATTGCGTAAAAGAACTCTGGATTTATGGATTTCCCGTACAAAATACAAACATTCCGCTGGCGAAGACCAAACAGACAGACAATAACTAAAGCTAGCCTGTACTAAGTCGATTCGGTTTTGGTGCTACTATAACTATATAGCCCACATTGCTATTTATTTCAGTCGTAGTATTTCTAGTCTAAGATCATGTATATTTTCCCCATTGTCACAAGCAGCATTTGACCAAATTTACTCATTTAATTATTACTATTAATTTATGTACTCTCAATAGCATTAAGAAAAGAAACTGTTGTTAAGATTATTACTAGTTTTAAGACTATTTTTACAAAAATAAATCATAGAAAACTCAAAAGAAATTTTAAAAAGGTTTTATTATTTATATTAGAGATTCTCTTTAATATATTTACTATTTCATTCTATTTTATTTGATGATTGCCTTACATTTCCTTCAACTTCACCTTGTAACAACTTCCTCTATTTTATGTTACAATTTCTATGACATGACCTACAAGGTATAGACCTTGTAGGCAACAGGAAACATTACTTCCGTAGTTTGGGAACTTCTCTTCTTCTATTGCTCTTACATTTTGTGACAATTTCCGCCAAACCCTCTCAGTAAATAGAAATCACAACAATAGCAATATCGAATTCTAGGGGAAAACACCTTTGGCATGTGCAAACACTGAGCACCGATTTGTCATGCACTTTCCATTTTATTTTTCGGGGACTTCCTCTCAACCCGCCCTCCAATAATGTTTCATAAATTCATATCGTTCGTAGATTTGCACCTTTCCTTAATGCAAATATTTAATTAGCTGACACCGCAGACGTTCCAGGTTTATAGGATGTTTTTTGAGTATGGTTTTCAGCCCTTCTGTCAATCCTTTGCCAGCATATTTGCCAAAAGGATCTCGGCGCATGCGCAGCGAGTCTCGAGTCTCGAGTCCCGAAGGACTGCAGGTGATAAACGTAGCAACGGCTGCTTATCGAGGACCGTCCTGGCGATTGTCCTGATTGACATAGCAGACGGTAGTTGAGGTCCTGATTGGATTGGATTACCAGTGAAGCATGGTCGGCACCCTGAACCCGACGAGGTTTATCTGCTGACTTTGTTTGGTCCTTAAGTATTTGATTAGAGCCGTATGGTGGTGATAAGGCCTCGGTTGGGACAGGTAGGAGTCTCGTACGTGTTTTGAAGTCTTAGTTAGGACACGTTCTTCTAATAATATTTAACAACAGAAATTAAGGCTATTATATAATTATTAAAAAAGCTAAGAAACTAAATTGGAGAAGCTAAAATGTTAATGTCCTTGAAGTTTGCAACTGAATTATAGGATTGAATTGGAAATCGATAATAAGTGAGTTTAAAATATATGGCATTTTTTGAATCGATATTTATCGATATATTTATATTGAAAGTCCAACTTTCAAAATGTCAGATCTAAGCCAAAAATGAATTAAATTTAATTCGGAAAGCTGCCCCGTGATAGTTTTTTGTAGGTTAATAAAATTGCATACTTAATTAAAGGTTTCAACAATTTTAAATTTTTATTAATTTTGTACACCTTTAATGATAGAAAATTTTGATAAAAAATGTTGAAAAAATTTTCAAATTTTTTTCTTCTCCGAGATAGCTAGATCGATTCAGATTTTAATGCTGATCAAGAAAATATAAGATTTATAGGGTCGGAAATGACTCCTTCACATCATAATAAGCTTCTAACTAAAATTATAATACCCTGCAAAGGTACACATAGTAAATAAATTAACAAGGTTCCTAAAAAGGTACGAAAAAGTACGATTTATATTTAAAAGCAACTCCTTTCTTAGAGATTTGTGGGTGTCTTGAAAGGCTGCAACCATTAGCGACATTTTCCTGTAATGGCAACACCTTTTGGCCATAAATAAGGCCCACAAAAAACCATTTCGTAGAAGGAACCAACCTAGACAAAGGCCAATCATTCCAGTTCATCGGTAATCAGAGCGAGTCTCTTGTGCAATTGCAAAAAAGGAATATATAAAAGGAGGAAAAAGCGAAGAAAATATGCAGTACAGATGCAACTGAGGCAAACAAAGAATCAGCTGTGAGGAAACACCTTGCATTGGCAAGACAATGGCCAGGATCGTTGGATCGCTGTACCTGTCGCCCGATTGTCTGGCCGAGATTCCCTCACCCAGTGACCCAGTGACGTTCCGCCAGTTACTCCTGTGATGTCTTCCGCCCTTTGTTCCTTTATTTTTTTTTGCACCATTGTCCTGCGGCTAATCACTTCTTAGGCAGCCAGCCAAGAAATCACATCACATCGGAGACCACAGAAGTCAGCCGCATGTAAATCGACATCGAAATCCACATTTAAAGCCAAATCCACCGGACTGGAATCGATCCCAAAGCCAGCACCTGAGATCGGGACCTACTCCCCATTAGTCCGGCAAACGCGATAACAAATTGCAATTGACAAAGGCAAACGAGATGCGATCGATGGAAGCCACATATCCGAGAGCCACTCGAATGGGATGCGATTCCATGCCATACAAATCGATGGCAGGACGGAGATACAAGCTGCGGCATTTGTAATTGCCAACAAATCTGGCGGGGATCAGGAGGGAGAGGTACCACAGGAGGAGCACCAGGAGGAGGAGCAGGCCAGGCAATCAGGGAGCGGCGCATGTCACATGTGGCAAACAAAAACCAGCAAAGAGAGGTAAGTAATACAAACCGAAGTTTGTTATACTCTAAAACAGAAATAAATAAATATATGGAAATTGTTTTTGTTACATTAAATGAATTAAATATATAATTTAACAAGTTAAGTTATGTTATGATGGTTCCTTCTTATCTATAATTCCGTTCAATATTTGATAATAGTTTTGTTTAAAAATGAACTGATCTTATATAGACTCTCCTCCGATCATATTTTAGTCAGAATTTAGACTTTGTTGATTAGATACATTCACTTTACCCCCTTGAAAGGGTATTACAAAAAATGAAAGAAAATTTCCCGCGCAGGCAAGACAAAAAGCTCATGCAAAACAAACATTAGGAAATCCAATCCGAACTCTCTGGCATCCAGCATCCAAACATTCAGCAGCCAGCAGCCACTTAGGCAGTCACTCAGTGGAACAGCCTCCAGGAGAGGAGTAGAGGAGTCTCAGAGTCTCAAAGAGCATGGTGCAGGGGAATCGTGGACCAAGTCGTCGTTTAGGACGTCTGAGATTACGAGCGATTACGTTTTACTCCAAATTTGTATGCTGCCAGGAGTTGTAATTGAAAAAGCATCAACATTAATCTTGGTACTCGCACACACACATCCAGTCTCAGAGTTGGCTTGGTGATTTTCGATTTCGATTGGGATTGGGATTGGGATTTGGGATTTGGGTATCGAATCGGATTTCGTAAGCCAAAGAGCTGGAGATGCCAGATAAGCGGGTGTAAGTGTGGGTAAGTCCCCGATCTCGATCCCGAAAGAAAAACATATTGCTTAATCGCAGCGCTGATGTGGAGCAGCAGATATGATCGCGCAGAAAATCTGAATCTGAATCCGAATCGAAGCCAAAGAGACAGAGACTCCACTTCATCTCGACAAGTGAGCGATGTGCGATCGCATGGCATAAATCAAATCCCGGAGAGAAATTGCCCCGCCGGCTGACAGCCCAGCCACGACAACTGTCCATCGCCGGGGATCCCATCCAGCAGAGTTCCAAGCTTGAAGCTTCCATGCTCCAAAGTCTCATGCTTTATGCCAAACCACATGCAAATGATCGTGCCCAGCATTCGACACCGCGGATCTGCCTGAGGATTTGCGGATGGCAACCTGTCAGCGATCAGCGACCTTAACTGTAAAGTCAGTCGGAAAAAACCGCATAGGTTCTGAGTTCAGACACCAAGAAAAAATAGCAGAAACTCTCAGAAATATTAGCTAACAAGAAAGGAAGCTAACTTCGGCACGCCGAAGTTTATATACCCTTGCTGATAGAACTTCGATGACTAGGAATCCATACAATATAAATTATATATATTTGTGTTAAAAAACAATGAAGTAATACCTGCTTTCATTTCATTCACCTATACATATTATATTTGCAGCTTTACATTCACATATTTGCATTTTCTTCTACATCTAACGATCGTTGTATAGCACCTATATGATATAGTAGCCCGATTTTTATAAAATTTTACACAAAATTGTAAAGTAATACAAAAAGGCTATATCTCAAATTGATTAAATTCTGTAGAAAACTGAAAATGTTATAATTTTTAATTGTATTAATTTCTCGATCGTTCCTATGGGAGCTATATGATATAGTAGTTCAATATTAATAAAATTTTATACAAAATTAAAGAGTATAATAAAATGGCTATATCGCAAATTTGATTAAATTTTGTTGAAACCTGAAAATGTTATAATTTTTTTTGGTAAAAATTTTCCGCTCATTCCTATGGCAGCTATATGATATAGTCGTCCGATCCGTCCCGTTCCGACATATATAGGAGTGAGAGTATATAGAAGACTAACTACAAAGATTCATTCAGATAGCTTCAAAACTGAGAGACTAGTTTGCGTAGAAACGGACAGACGGACAGACGGACAGAAGGACAGTCGGACATGGCTAGATCGACTCGGCTGTTGATCCTGATCAAGAATATATATACTTTATATGGTCGGAGGTGCCTCCTTCACTGCGTTGCAAACTTCTGACTTAAATTATAATACCCTGCAAGGGTATCTTGTCAAGACTTGAATATATCCAGAACTTTTCTCTATATCAAACCCCCTTTTCTCGCTGTGCATTCTTGAGTTACATGACCGGCTAAACCTGGCGTTAGTAGTCGCTAAGTGCAGTCAAAGAGACTGAGGACTGGCGGGACTCCTGTGGCCATCAACTTGATGATGAGGCAGGCAGGCAGGCAGATCGCTGCCAATGCCATTCCCGTTTTCTCTCCCTTCCAAGTAACTGCCATAACCCAGAGTCCATCCACAATCTTAGTACAAGTACCAACGCTTAACCCCTCGTGGGCTTCGTGCCCGTCCAGAGCTGTAGATCGGCGAGCGTTGATAAATGTTGTTACTTGTCGTTAGATGGTTGTACTATTCTGAGTTTGTCGACAAGCCCGATCGATGGGTGGTTATAGTTGACATGTCGCCCTGTGTTTCATCGGGAACGGGATTGGAATCGGTAGAGGATGCTCCACACGATTGCCAATGACATTATGTGGTT